TAAACATTGTTGAACCCTGGAGTCACACATCTATTTGTGAAGCAGGATATCCACGGCAGATAAGAGTGGGTCATCCCTGACCCTGTCCGTGATCCTCTTGTATCGGGTCTTTATTTTGGAGGCTCCTTTTGTTGGAGATGACAGGCCACCCACAGACGGCTGATTCTTCAGCTTTTTGATGAGTAGGTATAAGAGCCTCGACTCATCTGTAATGGATGCTGCCTGGGCAAAGCGCATCCACCCAAATTTGTTTGTTTGTGCTGAGCTACTTTCCTGGGATTGACTACCTGAATATTTTAATCATCCTTTTCTTCGTCTTTGTGCCTTCCCAATTCGGCATCTACTTCCTGAACAAAATGTTCATAACTACCATATACCTAAGTGAACCCTTGAGTGACACTTCTATTCGTGGTTGGACAAAATGTGAATTTCTGTGTGTACTTCCCACTGTTTTTGCTTTTGATGGAACATACTTCTTGCGTAGGCCTCCACAGTTTGCTATATTACATGCTGAACATGGTTTTGACGTCGCTTTTGGGACAGAAGGTGACGGTTTGGGGGAGGAGGAGGACATACGGTCAACCCAATGGATGGGATTGGCGGTAGGGAGAACGTCTGTGCCTTTGGTTAAGCTGGTACAACGACCAAGATGGGAATGCCAGAAGACCCTGGTGGCATTGCTGGGGATGAGGAGGGACCCAGCTTTGGAGCAAGGCACTGTAACTTAGGAAGAGGTGGCTCATCTTGACTTTGGGATGATGGTCCAGGTTGAGAGAAGTCAAGGGCCCACCTCTTCTTACCATATTGCCTTCCAGATTGGTGGGGAATATACTCATAATTCGTCTTGGTGAAGGAAGGAGGTGGAAGGGATGCAGGTAACTCCACAGCTTCTGGAATGGGGGCTTTAGACGGTACCTTCCTGTGGGGCTACACCTTCGGTTGAGCTGTGGCATGGTAATTTGCCCGCTTCTGCTCCCTCGATATAAAGGCTGTTATTGATTTCGCATTTATATTAGGCAGCGGGATGTCCATGGCAGATAGGAGTGGGTCATCCCTAACCCTGTCGGCAATCCTGTTGTAGCGGGCCTTTATTTTGGAGGCTGCTTTCGTAGGGGATGACAGGCCACCCACAGACGGCTGATTTTTGAGCATCTTGATGAGGAGCTATAAGAGCCTTGACTCGTCTGTGTGGGTGCTGCCTGGGCAAAGCGCATCCACTCGAACTTTGTCTTCTGAGCCGAGCTACTCTCCTGGGAGTGACTGCCCAAGCATCTCCCAAACATAGTGTAGACCCAGGTAGACTCATACTTTTTGACAAAGTCGCGGGCGCTCTAGTCATGGTCTTGCAGATTCCCTGCAGCTTTGGCAAGCTCCCGCCTAAGGGGGGGCCGGGATGATGTGCTGCTCCTCTTCAATGAGATTAAGAAGGAGAAGCGCAAAGTCCTCTACTTCTTGGAAGCCAGGCAGATGAAGGTTGCTTTGCCTCATCAGCACATCTTCCATAAGGGGGGAGACCTCCTCAACCACATGCTCTTCATTGCTGAGGGCAACGTGATTTACAGACACTGCATCCAGGGGGTCATCAGGTTGAGTGGTAGGACCATCCTTGTCCATGCCTTCGTAGTAGTGGTCTTCCATGGGGCCCTGAATGAACATATTTACATCGTTTATAACATTTATGCAGAACAGTAACAAAAATAACCCTCAACCGTTTCCAAGACACGGGACATGACGTAACATTGACACTGGTCAATAAAGCGCACTTTGTGCGCATGCTCAATGATGACGTCAGTCTTTAACTTCAAATAGGTTGAACGATGATGTCTTTCGCCTATGACCATACCATGCTGAATATACCGGTTCTCGTCTGATCACCGAAGTCAAGCAGCGTAGGGCCTGGTTAGTACTTGGATGGGAGACCGCCTGGGAATACCGGGTGTTGTAGGCATTTTTTTTTTGGTTTTTTTTTTTGAATTGTTTTTGCTTGAGGTGACGCCCTTGACATGCTGAAACCCTTCTCTTACCTTCCCTTTCCCTCTGTTTTTGGGGGGTTTCTTTTTAAATTTATTTATTTATTTGTTTCTAATCTTTTGACAGGGTACGTAGCCCATTCACCAACAAGTAGTGGTCTTCCATGGGGCCCTGAATGAACATATTTACATCGTTTATAACATTTATGCAGAACAGTAACAAAAATAACCCTCAACCATTTCCAAGACACGGGACATGACGTAACATTGACACTGGTCAATAAAGCGCACTTTGTGCGCATGCTCAATGATGACGTCAGTCTTTAACCTCAAATAGGTTGAACGATGATGTCTTTCGCCTACGACCATACCATGCTGAATATACCGGTTCTCGTCCGATCACCGAAGTCAAGCAGCGTAGGGCCTGGTTAGTACTTGGATGGGAGACCGCCTGGGAATACCGGGTGTTGTAGGCATTTTTTTTTTGGTTTTTTTTTTTTGAATTGTTTTTGCTTGAGGTGACGCCCTTGACATGCTGAAACCCTTCTCTTACCTTCCCTTTCCCTCTGTTTTTGGGGGGTTTCTTTTTAAATTTATTTATTTATTTGTTTCTAATCTTTTGACAGGGTACGTAGCCCATTCACCAACAAGTAGTGGTCTTCCATGGGGCCCTGAATGAACATATTTACATCGTTTATAACATTTATGCAGAACAGTAACAAAAATAACCCTCAACCGTTTCCAAGACACGGGACATGACGTAACATTGACACTGGTCAATAAAGCGCACTTTGTGCGCATGCTCAATGATGACGTCAGTCTTTAACTTCAAATAGGTTGAACGATGATGTCTTTCGCCTACGACCATACCACGCTGAATATACCGGTTCTCGTCCGATCACCGAAGTCAAGCAGCGTAGGGCCTGGTTAGTACTTGGATGGGAGACCGCCTGGGAAAGTGCGAACGACCCCTGGGAGGTCCAACGGGTCCGATTTGACGTCACGAAACTGGTGTGATCTGTGAGCGGAAAACGCCATCTGCGTCGTGAAATACCCATGCTCGCTGTCGTCTGCAGCTGCTCTTTAAGGGGGTTTTGCTCATTTATTTTAGCTAATTTCCGTCTGTTTTGCCTATTTTGTGTTATTTTGTCTTCATTTTCTTCTTGTTTTCCTTGTTTTTGTTAACTTTACACTGATTTTGGGGCTATTTTTCCCTTTCTTTTGCTTGTTCATTTTGTTTATTATTCTTTGTTTTTGTCTTTTATTTTAAGTTTTATCGTTGTCTTTGTTTGTGTATGTGTGTTTTTTCCCTTTGTGCCTTTTTTTAGTCTGAAGCAGACAAAAATACACACAAACATCCAGAAACACACACTAACATACACACGCACACACACATACACACACACACACAACACAAATTCTAACATACAGACAGATAAAGTCTGAGAGCTATTTAATTCCTTGCCATTTCTTCATGTTTTATTAAAAAAACATGTCTTTTTTATTCTTCTTTTTCTTTCATGTGAGAGAATTATGTCAAAAATCGTTGGCAAGATAATAAACCTGAGTTGCCTATCTAAAAGGCAAAAGTACATGTTAAAAGGCATATATACATTGTAAAAGCCTCTAATTTTCTGCAAGAAGGCATCAAGTTCATATAATAGACCCTGTCAATCAATGAACTCCTCTATCAAAAGGGCACAAGTTCATTGTTAAAGGAATACACTGTAAAAGCCTTTACTTTTCCGCAAGAAGGCTTATGTACATATAATAGAACCCGTCAATCAATGAGTTTCCCTATCAAAAGGGCACAAGTACATTTCATATGGAATAACCAATAAAAACTTGTCCTTTCCTGCAAGAAGGCAACAAGTACATATATCAGAAATTCTTGGCAAGTTTATAAAACTGAGTTGCATACCAAAAAGGCATAAGTACCTGTCATGATAAATACATTATAAACGCGTTTACTCTTCTGCAATAAGGCACCAAGTACAGAAAACAAAGCGTCAATCGATGAGTTGCCTACCCACAAGGCATCAGTACATGTCATAATAATTACATCATAAAAACGTATACTTCTCTGCAATAAAGCACCAAGTACACATTATAGAAAGCACCAATCGATGGAATGACCAATAAAAGCCTGTCCTTTTCTGCAAGAAGGCATCAAGTTCATATAGTAGAACCTGCAAATCAATGAACTCTCCTATCAAAAGGGCACAAGTACATTGTTAAAAGGAATACACTGTAAAAATCTTTACTTTTCCACAAGAAGGCTTATGTACATATAATAGAACCCGTCAATCACTGAGTTTCCCTATCAAAAGGGCACAAGTACATTTCATATGGAATAACCAATAAAAGCCTGTCCTTTCCTGCAAGAAGTCAACAAGTACATATATCAGAAATTCTTGGCAAGTTTAAAAACCTGAGTTGCCTACCAAAAAGGCATAAGTACCTGTCGTGATAAATACATTATAAACGAGTTTACTTTTCTGCAATAAGGCACCAAGTACAGAAAACAGAAAGCGTCAATCGATGAGTTGCCTACCCACAAGGCATAAGTATATGTCATAATAATTACATCATAAAAAAGTATACTTCTCTGCAATAAAGCACCAAGTGCACATTATAGAAAGCACCAATCGATGAGTTGCTTATCACAAAGGCATAAGTACATGTCATAATAAATACATTACTGCATAAAAGCCGATACTGCAGTAAGGCACCAAGTAGACATAATAGAAAGCGCCAATCGATGAGTTGCCTACAAAAAAGGCATACGTACATGTTATAACAGAAAGAACAGTTCATTTGGACCTCCTTCTCTCGAGTTCTTCATCCACGACTCTCTTAAAGTGACTGTAATCGGTAAACATACCTGCCAACCACTCCGATTTAGGCGGAGTTACTCCGCTTTTTTCATACCCACTCCGAATTCCGATTGCATGCCTCAAAACTCCGATTTTTGGTAATTTTAAAATATTTTTAAAACAAACGACTGTTGCATAAGACTAAAGCATAACACAGCACTGATAACCAGATCACGCCGACATCTGCGCTCGCGCTCATAGAAGATATACACAGCGCAGCCCGAACGCGATCGTTAGTTCCGCATTGATTATCCATGTACTGCATGTAGTATTACGTGGAAGCACGTGCGCAACTATATCGATAAAGTGTGTGCGGACGTTACTAATACATACACTACATACATGCACTGTATACGTTGCCAATGTATACAGTGCATGTAGTGTAAGATTGGCGTGTTTTCTTCAATGCTTGTGCGGTGACTGCGATCGTGGAAGCTTGTTATTTACCGGACTTCCTCGGATTTATTTTGGATTACTACTACTATATTCTTCTTCTTCGTTGATTTCTCCATTTTTGAAGGACAAAATGGGCAAGACTCGTGTTGCTCATAGTCAGAACTATAAGAAAGAATACGGGAAACAATTTCCAGTTGCAGCATCAGCACTCGGACTTCAACACGCATTTTGCATTGTGTGTTCGGCCGACTTCAGTATCAACCATGGGGGAATGAATGACATTCAGAAACACATGAACTCGAAGAAACATAAAGCTTTCAGCGAAATTAAGGACAAGGCTCGTCCAATTTCAACCTTCTTTTCTTCTTCTGGAGATCTCGATGTCATCAGAGCAGAAACTTTGTTTACTGAATTCATCATAGAACACAACTTGCCCTTTTCTGTGGCTGATCATGGCACCAAGCTGTTTCGTAAAATGTTCCCCGACTCCAATGTTGCAAAAAAATACTCATGTGGACGGACGAAAACGTCGTATCTCGTAGAAGCTCTTGGGAAACAATCGAAGCAAAGTATCTTGGATGTAATTCGAGTGTCACCGTTCAGTATGGCAACAGACGGCAGTACCGATTACGAGGATGTGAAACTCTACCCAATTTGTGTAAGATACTGTGATCCCAACAGCGGCAAAGTCAACTCAGTCATCCTGTCTTTGAAAGAGTGTAACAAGCCATCAACTGGAGAAAACATTTTCAAACTGTTGGAGGCAGAAATGGATGAGCTTGAAATTCCCTGGGAAAATCTGATATGCTTTTCTGCAGACAATGCATCTGTTATGCTAGGAAAGATGAAGGGAGTAGCTGCATTTCTTCTTCGGCAGGCTCCATCCCTCCACATTGCTGGTGAGTTTTTGTGTTTGAAATTTAGATTTTAAACTTAAAAGGCAAATAATCTGGCTGACAAGCAAAGTCTAAATTAAACAAAATAAAATAAACCCCCACAGAATTGAGTTTGTGGGGCTTTAAGAGACTAACCAATATGTAGATTACAAGTGTAGTCTGTAGATGATATTTAGTTTTAACTGTTGAGCTTAGAATTTTCAATGTGAATTTTAAAAATATATATGTGACACTCGCCCTATTTAGTACTTCCTGAATTGATTTAAGGTGAAAACTGATTTTAAATACAGTTTTTTAATTCATATTAATTATTTGATTTTAGTAACATTTTTGTAATTGTGGATTTTAATGTAATAGTTTGTTACTTTTGTGATGTTCTTAGTTTCTATTCTATTCTACAGTAAATACTTTTCATAACATAATAAAACTCTCTATTATAAAACAATATTTTATTTTCTTTACAGGTTGTCCCTGTCATCTTATTCACTTGGCTGCAGGAAGGGCTGCTAAACAACTGCCAGTTTTCGTTGATGATCTCCTCGTAGATATTTTCTACTACTTAGAGAAAAGCAGCAAACGAAAACAAGAGTTCAAAGAGTTCCAGAAAAAGGCTGGTGTCCCTCATCACAAAATTGTGAAGCATGTGGCAACCCGTTGGCTTTCCCTGGGGCACTGTATTGAGCGTCTGCTAGAACAATGGAATGCTTTGTTGTTGTTCTTCAATGAAGAGGACAAGAAGAATAATCCATGTACAAGGAAACGCAGTGCATCGGACCCTCTCGTTACCTCTCCCCCTAAGAAACAGATGACACTACATGCCACCAACACACCAAAGTCTTCAAAGACTGTACGTATAACATCACGTTCTTCACTAACTGGCACTGTGGTGAGAAAAGTAGCATCATCTTCAAAGACAAAGACACTGACTGGCACTGTGGCGAGTAAAGTAGCATCATCCTCAAAGACACTGACTGGTACTGTAGCAAGCAAAGTAGCATCATCCTCAAAGACACTGACTGGTACTGTAGCAAGCAAAGTAGCATCATCCTCAAAGACATTGACTGGCACTGTGGCAAGTAAAGTAGCATCATCCTCAAAGACACTGACTGGTACTGTAGCAAGCAAAGTAGCATCATCCTCAAAGACATTGACTGGCACTGTGGCAAGTAAAGTAGCATCATCCTCAAAGACACTGACTGGTACTGTAGCAAGCAAAGTAGCATCATCCTCAAAGACATTGACTGGCACTGTGGCAAGTAAAGTAGCATCATCCTCAAAGACACTGACTGGTACTGTAGCAAGCAAAGTAGCATCATCCTCAAAGACATTGACTGGCACTGTGGCGAGTAAAGTAGCATCATCCTCAAAGACACTGACTGGCACTGTAGCGAGTAAAGTAGCATCATCCTCAAAGACATTGAATGCAGGGAGTGCCACTGGTCCTGATAAGACTCCACATTCTGCACAGAAGTCATCAGCTGCAAAGTCCCAACCATCATCATCTTATGCATCAACAAAATCTCGTAATGTCTGCACTATGATGAAAGATCCAAACTACAAACTGTACTGTCTATTCTTGACAAAAGCTATACCCATTTTTGAAGTGGCCAATATCTTTCTTCAAAAAGATGAGCCATGCATACATAGATTACATAGTGTTATGTGTCACCAGCTGCAAGAATTGCTTGTCAGGTTTGTTAAGCCAGATGTTGTAGCCAAACTGTTACAATCCAAGGTATATGAAGTAGACTTTCACTCTGAAATGAATCAGAAATGTGACGATGAGTTATTCATTGGACAACCAGCCCGTCAATTCATTAAAGAGAACACAGAATCATGTAATGTGAAGGAATTCTATGCCAGTGCAAGAAAATATTATGTGGCAGCATGTGAGTACATGAAGAAGTCCTACCCTTTCAAGGATGATGTTCTTGTCAATGCTGAGATCATTGATGTAGCAAAGAGGACAAACATCAAGCTATCCCAGTGGATGTTCTATGTGAAGAAATACCCTCAGTGTCTATCACCACAAGAGAAGGAACAAGTAGAAGACGAATTCTGTCATTTCCAAGCAGACCGTTTCTCTGAAGAAATTCTTCAACCTGATGTGAGAATTGACCAGGTGTGGCATTCCATCTCCAAGCTGACATCGCCTGCAACTGGCAAGCCCAAGTACACATCCTTGTACAAAATTGCGAGGGTACTACTTGTGATGTACCACAGCAATGCGGACTGTGAACGCATATTCAGCCTCGTCAATAAGAACAAAACAGAGTTTCGTGCTTGCTTGTCAACTCGTATGCTAGGCAACCTCATGACCAGGCGGATGGAGTTACTTGCTTCAGACACACCCTGCTACATGATGAACCATTCTAGTCAGCTACTGAAGAAGGCCAAAAGTTGTACATCAGTTGGATTGGTTGGTTCCAGTAGCCAGTAATTCTGAATCTTTCTACCTTTGCAAAATAGGGCTCCTAACTGAGGTGGGTAGTGAAACATGTAGTTTTGTGAGTGTTCACATTTTGATATTTCAAAAATTGTTTATTATGTGTGGGGCGAAAAGGTTGAAGGAAAAGGCCCATTTGCACCATTAAAATGGAGAGAGAAAAAAAATAGACCCTAAATCCATCCAGAAAAATTTACTCCTAATTTCTCTTGTCTCAGGTTGGCAGGTATGGGTAAAGATTGTTTCTGTAAATCCTGGGGTCGTAGATTTGTTCGTGGTGGGGCAAAATGTGAATATCTTCTGACTGCTTCCTTGAGTCTTCGCCTTAGAAGGTGTGTAGCGCTTGCGAAGCCCACCGCATTTCGGAACATTGCAGGCAGCGCAAGGCCTCACCGAAGGATCCGGCAGGAATCTGGCTTGCCTAGCAGAAGAAGGGGGTGGCGCCGGACGGAAAACGAAAGGCACGCTGCTCGTAGGTGGTTTTAGAGCTATCGAAGGTGCCTTTGGTTGAGAGGGAACCACCAATAAAATGGGAGCTCGTGACGCCTTCATCGGTGAGCTTGGTCGCGGAAGAAGAAGTCGGGGCAAAGGGGATTTCAGGTCCTGCGACGAGTGCACAGATTCCTGAGGCTCGTGCGACGAAGTCCCTGGCTCGTCCAAACGAAGTCGCCTCTTTTCCCCCCTCCTCTTCCCGCTCTCATGAGGGATGACATCATACCGTCGGAGACTGCACTCGGGCTGAGGCAGAGCCTCGGCAAGTGCAGCCGCTTCAGGTACCCGCTCCTCCGACAGTACCTTACGATGCACGGTCACGTTTGGCTGTGCCGTGGCCAGAAGATTCGCCCAAACTTCCTGTTTGTGGATGAAGTTCGTAATGCTCTTGTTGTTGATGTTCGGGAGTGGCAGATTCAACTTTGAAAGAATCGCGTCGTCGTACAGCCTGTCGCAGATACGCTTGTACTTCCAACGGATGTTGGTCGCCGTCTTGGAAGGGGACTGCACTGCGACAGTGGGATGGTTCTTTAGAAGCTGGATAACCAGGTACAGAAGACGCGATTCTTCCGTGATGGGGGCCGCCTGCGCGAACTTCTGCCAACCGAACTTCGTCTTCTGGGCGGCACTGCTCTGGGGGGAGTCGGGTCCGAGGCACCGGCCAAACAGCGTGTAGCCCCACTTACTCTCATATTTCTTAACGAAATTTCTGGCGGAGCGGTCATGGTCATGAAGTCGGGTAGAGGCCATCCCTATCTCTGATCTCAGCTCCACCGGGATGAGGTGGCGTTCACCTTCTGCGAGCTTCACGAGAAGTACGGCGAGGGCCTCGCCCTCCTGGAAGCCGGGCAGGTGGAGTTTACGATGCCCCAAGACATCCTGCATGACAGGGCTGACTTCGACCTGCACCTGCTCTTCCTCTGTCAGGACAGCGTGGCCTACGCTGAGGGCGTCCAGTGGGTCCTGGTCGATGACCTCCTCCCTGTCCTGCTTGATGCCCTCATCGTCATCCTTCTCTTCGTCTCCATCGACGTTGGTGGTCTCCTCCTCGGCCTGTTGTTCAACCTCAGCTGTGAAAAAAAAAAAACAATAAAAACAATCATAAGCAGTTGTTGGTAACAGTATCGAAATATCTAAATAAGTAGTTGGCTTTTTCTGACTTGTTGAAAAATAACAATAATGTTTAATTGTGAGGAAATAAAGAGAGAAAAAAATGGGAACATTGTATCAATTAATTCCATTATTATTTTTTTCTTTTCTATTTTTCATCATATCCTTCAGTATTAAAAGGCACGTTCATTACATGGTAAATGAGAATTCTCACCTCCTTGGATGTAATAATCCTTCGATGAGAAGGAAGAAACTGTTGATTGGGCATACGCGTATTCCACGCCGAGTAACTCCTCCTCTTCTCCTTTGGCGGGAGGCTGTAGTGGGGAGATGGCGTTTGGCTCATACAGGTGCTCCTTGCCAAAGAGGACCTCAGCATCATGATTCATCCGCTGAATCTGGCGTGGATCAATGGTCGTGGTGGACTTGCCCCTCCTACTAGCCAACTTGAGCTTTTCCATCCTGCCGTTCCACTCCACAGCAAAGGAGAGAAGGTACACCTGCAGCAATAATTACAAAAAAAGTAATGTACAATTAATATTTATTTTAAATAAAATGAGATCGATTGAATCAAAATATTTTTGCTAAAAAATACATTCCCTTAATTGTTTGGCCTAATTCGCAAAAATCTAATTTATATTCACCTGAAAGGGGATGATGGCACAGCGATGGGAGGGAATGGCGTGGACGAGGTGGGAGTGGAGCCCTTCCAGGACGTTGCTGCCCCGACGACACTTGAATTTGGTCAACTCTACGCCATTGATTACCACCTTCTTCACAGCGACGTAGAGCTGTACTCCTGGCGGATCCTGCAACAACAAAATACAATGAAATAACAATTAGACAAATAAATACAGCTGAATTTCACATGTTTTCAATTAACAGATTAAAAATAATCATCATTTGAGGCAATTGTATGTATTTTGATATAAACTTTTGTTAATTTTAATTCATTTTTGTCTGTTTCTTTGCTGATTTTGCTGATTTTGATTTTTTATCATGAATCAAATTGACTCACCTGCATACAGCCGAGATGTTTGCTGGCGATTGCCCAGTGTGCGTCCACAGCCTCAGTCGACTTGAATAGTGGAATGCCATCTGCATCCAAGCCGGCTGGTCCCTTGAATTCACTCATGATGTGCTGGACTGCTGCGGCACTCTCCTGGACACCCCGGGTCAGTCTGCGCACGTAAGATGCTGCCTGGTGTGGCGTGACGAAGGACAGCATCTCGGTGTCTGTGTAGCTGGAGAATTTGTTGACATCGCCCTTCCTGACAGCAGACACCAAGAGCATCATGTCCGCCTTGTTGTAGGCCAGGATGGCTCCCACCAGGGCGCTGATAAACAGGGCGTACTTAGCGTGCGTCTGTTTGATGACGACGGCGTCCCACCGGTGGACCCAGTGCCGGATGTCAAGGCGGACCACCATCCCGTCGTGGACCCAGGGCTCGAACAGGGTCTCATACCAAGACTGGCCACCATCCCTGAAAAGAACAAATTAATAAAACTTGTGTTATACATGTAGTCCATCTCATTCAATCAAACAAATAATTGATGCCAGTTGCTCCTTGTCGTTAGTAGAGTCTGATACAAAAAAGAGAAGTGAATAAGTAAATGAAACAATGTATAAACAAAGGCATTGTATTATTATGATGAATTTCACTCTAATTATTAAAAGGTGTACATAAAATTTACTTTTAATTACATGAAAAAAATAGAACAATGTAATAAATTGTGCAATTACCTGCAGCAGTTGTTGTCGGCATACAGGACTTGGACAGGAGCTGCCTTGGCTCGTTTGAACCGGGCAATCACACCCCTGGCCATCCGTGCGTAGGCATCCTCAGTCTCCGATGCTACAACAATTGTGGTCACAAACTGGCCCCACTCATTTAACATGCTTGTGAAGTACTGGTAGTTGCCCTGGCCATCCCCTTTGATTTTCTTCAGTATCTGTAATAAAATAAAAGAATATTGACAAAGTTATTACATTTAAATCTAAACATAAATTTTACATGTACAATGAATGAAAATTGTTCCAGAATTGAAAAATTATCTGCATTTATTCATTTATTTTCTATTTATTTAGAATATTATTAATTTAATCATTAATTTTTTTTAATTTATGCATTTGATCTTTCATTAATTCATTTAATTATTTATCTATGTGAACACCCACCTGTCTGGTTCCATCAATGCAGAGGATCTCCCCCGTGGTGCTGAGGATGGCATCTCTGTAGGCAGGGACCTTCTCCATCTCGACCAGCAGATGGGCCCTCCGAAACGTCCTCGCAGATGGGATGGGAGATGGGGGCAAGGGGGGCGTGTACTTGTGGGTAGAGAAGGGCAGGATGCCACGTTGAGATGAGGGTGTAGATGCTGCGGTGCGTGCCTCCATCAAGAGGGTCTGGTAGAGGTCTCTCCGGTTGGCATACCACTCGTCATGCCCCTCCTCCACCATCCGATGCACCTTCGACATGGAGATGGCTTTGATACGATCGGAGAGAAGGGATACGATGCTCCGGTCGACGGCTCGCTTTCCGACTAGGACAGCCGGACACATCATCCTCACCGCAGGGGCCAGTTGCATCATGATGCCGGGGCTGGTGGCATGCCATCTCGCCTGCGTCTTGTCGCCCTTTCCCTGGCAGTAGTGGCACTTGAGACGCTCCGTCAACAGCGTGTAGTTATAGCGGATGCCACACACCTGTCTGGCAACCGGGGCATATCCAGCTCGGGTGATGTAGCTGTCTGGCGAAGCGGGACAAGACGTATTGGGGCACCTGATCTTCACCCCTAACACACCTACTGGTCTCCAGAAGAACACTGGCGTCGCAAAGAACGCGAGCATGTTGGGGAGGGTGCCCTTCAGTGTGGTTGGGAGAGGGGGAGGATGAAACTCCAACTCGTCCTTGAGGATGGACCTCTTGCCTGCTCGTTTCGCTGACACGAAGCGATGAGGTTGCTCAAAAATCCCGTGCGGCCCGTCGGACTTGAGCCACTGACGATTTGGGGGGTACATCTCGTCCCAGGATTTCTGCCATCCTTCGATGATGTCGGCCGATTCAGGGGCAATGGGAGCTGGGTCGGGTGTGGTAGATGTTGATGGGACCTGCGAGAGCAGCTTCCCCAGGGTCATCAACGAGGTGTCGACCTGGACATCAGGGACATCCAACATCGTTTCTGAAAAGAGAATTCAAAAGAATAAAGACATATTAGTCAGCTTTAAAGATGGAAGAAAGTAACCATCTTGTAGGCACATGCTGAAAATTCTTTATAAGAATACAAATATTTTACATTTGGTAGGGAAATAAAAAAGGTAACAATTATATTATAAATTGAATTAAAAATACTATAAATACTATAAATATTAGTATAAATATTAGTATTCAAATATCTTCTTAAAATCTAGTTATTTAGTCAGTATTACATGTAATAAAAGTCCATATATGCCCATGTATTTGCTCTCAATTGTATACGTATTTGCTTATATGTATGTATTTTTGTACTCTCATTTTTCTTCTTCTCTACTTTTTCTTTATGCGCTTAGAAACATGGTAGAGAGCGCTTTACAAATGTTAGATATTATCTATTATTATTATTATTAAATAAATGGTGATTTAAACTCACCAGCTAAGGATAGCATTTCTACGTCAGCGTTGAAAGCTTCTTCGTCAGGAGGCTTGGAGACGGTGGCAGGCTTGGTGACGGTGGCAGGCTTGGTGACAGTGGCAGGCGTGGTGACAGTGGCAGGCGTGGTGACTGTGGCAGGCGTGGGGACAGTGGCAGACTTGGTGACCGTGGCAGGCTTGGTGACCGTGGCAGGCTTGGCGGTAGGCTTGGCCGGCTGTGACATCTTCTTTGTGGACAGCTTCCGAAATTTTCGGTCCACCTTGTCTTTGAGGACAGGGTACTCGCACATCAGCTCAAGAAGTCGCTGTTTGAGCCAGGCGGAGAGTCGGTGTGAGTCCCCCTTCTCCTTGAATTCGCCGAGCAGCCACACAATCCACCCCACATCGTTCTCGATGAGCCAGTGATAGCTCCTCCCCTTGTACTGCCCCCATGTGAGGACGAGTTGGGACCTCCACATGTCCTCCGCCCCCAACTTAGCTGCGGCTAACCTTGCAGCTCTCTCGGCGCTCTCGGGGTCGAGCCAAACGGTCGAAATTGGAACTTTCAAGTCCCCTCCTGCTTTCTTGAAGGCTGTCTTGAGCCGATCAGCCTCTGGCGTCGGGGCGACAAGAGCTTCACCCGGACGATACTCTCGAATCGTGGGATACAGATGCTGACGAAGGTGCTTCAGCAGGTTCTGTCTCAGCGTGAACATCTTCCCGCACTTGTCGCAAACCTCCTTCTTCTCACTGTGACGGAGCATGTGACGAGTGAGGTTGGACTTCACGGTGAAGGTGTCCCCACACTCACGGCACTCCCATTTCCGCTTAGTTTTAGGAAACTCCATCCTGGTTGAAGGAAGAAAACAAAAGAAAATCGATCTAGAATTTTCCAAGCTGACGTGGTACAGGAGCGTAGCGATCAAAGATTATGTGTACATGCTTTTTTATAGGCCTGTAATTGTAAACGAAAAAAACATAATAATTGACATAAAATGTAAAATTTTAACCAAGTTTCCGAAATTCCAACAAAAAATAACACATATGGGACTGAATGAAAAAAAAATGATCAAAAAACGTCAATTTTTTCATTGAATACGGCTCAAATCATAAGAAACATCACATAATCAGTAACCGGAGTGTACGAAAATCATTTATATCATTAGAAACACAACAAATCGGTAAAATTACCGATGAAAAAGGGTTTCTGCGACTTTTTGGGGGGTTAAACGAAACATTTACAAAAACCGCCTATAATTTCATTTTCTACAATTCATAACGTCAAAAACATGATAAAATCAGTAACCGAAGGGTATTAACATCATGAAATTTAAATAAAACACAAAAAATAGGTGATATTATTGAATAAAAAGGGAAAATTTGGCATAAATTACCTTGCACTGGGGTTCAAAATAATGGCTGCCTTGAAGTGTGGTGATTTTGAAAAATCACGTGATTGAGGAAAAGTCAGGTGATAAATTAAGGGTCGCTCAGCTAATCGCTGTGATTGGCTGAGACGAGCTCCTCAGCTTGCTCAGCTTGCTCAGCTTGCTCAGCTGCGCTCAGTGATTGGTGGAGCTGAGGAAAGCGTCTCCTCAGCTCGCTTAGCTGATTGGACCGTTGAGGAAGCAGTAATAAGTTGTTGGACCTCGGGAGGGGAATTGCCTGGGAATACCGGGTGTTGTAGGCATTTTTTTTTTGGTTTTTTTTTTTGAATTGTTTTTGCTTGAGGTGACGCCCTTGACATGCTGAAACCCTTCTCTTACCTTCCCTTTCCCTCTGTTTTTGGGGGGTTTCTTTTTAAATTTATTTATTTATTTGTTTCTAATCTTTTGACAGGGTACGTAGCCCATTCACCAACAAGTAGTGGTCTTCCATGGGGCCCTGAATGAACATATTTACATCGTTTATAACATTTATGCAGAACAGTAACAAAAATAACCCTCAACCGTTTCCAAGACACGGGACATGACGTAACATTGACACTGGTCAATAAAGCGCACTTTGTGCGCATGCTCAATGATGACGTCAGTCTTTAACTTCAAATAGGTTGAACGATGATGTCTTTCGCCTACGACCATACCATGCTGAATATACCGGTTCTCGTCCGATCACCGAAGTCAAGCAGCGTAGGGCCTGGTTAGTACTTGGATGGGAGACCGCCTGGGAATGGCGAACGACCCCTGGGAGTTGCTACCCGAGTTCAGCAACTTGGCAATCACTGGTGATCGTCGACGACGCAAAAGCGCCATCCGCGGCCAAAAGTCGTAAACTGTCGTCTGCTTGCGTGTAAAGATGGGGGAAAATGTTCTTTGTTGTTGACATTTTTGTTATACACCCTGTATTTGTTTGTGTGTTTTCATATCTTTCATGTTGGTTTCTTTCTTTCTCTCTGTCTTTCTAATTTTTCAGCTATCTGTTTATACTTACTCTTGCCTCTCCTTTTTCGTTCTTCTCTTCATCTTTCCTTCTTTTTCTCTCTCTATATCTTTTCTTTTCTTTCTCTCTTTCTATATTTATCTCTCTTTCATTCTATCCCTGTATTCGTTTGTGTGTTTTTATATTATTCATGTTGGTTTCTTTCTTTCTTTCTCTCTATCTTTCTAACTTTTCAGCTATCTGTTTGTACATACTCTTGCCTCTCCCTTTTCTTTATTCTCTCCATCTTTCCTTCTTTCTTTCTCTCTATCTCTTTTCTTTTCTTTCTCTCTTTCTATATTTCAATTCTCTCTATCTTTCTTTCATTCCATCTCTCTTTCTATATTTCAATTTAATCTCTCTATCAATCGCATACATTGGAAACAAATATAATATACAAAACACAAGGTAAATATTAGGTTGTGTGTTCTTTATATTGGACACATCAATCATGGCAAATTATTGATCTGATCAAAAACACACAAGTGTTTAGTTTACAGACATTTGAAAGTAATGCTTGAAAAAAATTATGTTTCATGAATACGGAGTCACATAATTGAGCTAAAAAGATATACCAATGTAATTCATTACAGCCATGGCTAGAAAACAGTATCAAATCAAGGCACTTTATGATAAATCAGTGCTTAAAGGTAAAGACCAGTATTGGAATCGCCCCAATTTCAAAAAAAATAAATGGAAGCTCTCATTACCAATCATGTGAAAGAATATGTTTTGACTAATACATGATAATAACAAATTTGCCGGGAAACCGCCTTCTAATTGATATATTTGGTAAATTGGTTTATCTATGGTCTGTGAGAGAAACACGCACGTGTGCGTATAGTCCCATATACATCTTTCTGTGTAAGGCGCTTGTAACTTTACAAATACTGGGCCAAATTTCTTATCATTTTGATGATTCCAGAACCTTGCAGTACACACCAATACTACAGTATATGCTAGATGATCAACCTTTTCTGAAACTCTTCACAACGTTTCTTTCACAATGTAATCGCATGACCATAACTGGTCTTTAGCTTTAAAAAGGAACTATATAGCAAGAAAATAGTCATTTCATGGCATTATATAACAAGTCATTATATACAATACATCTTTACTTTTTACTTGTGTCTTCTGGTATATAAATATATATATACATATATACATAAAATATGTATAAAATTGCATCTAGAACATCAATAATATGAGATACTTTCAACCTCTACACAAAGTAACTCAATCACAATGTATTGAGCAAGACAAATGCAAGATATAGCATCTATAAAAGTTTGGCTGTATAAAATTGCATCTAGAACATCAATAATATGAGATACTTTCAACCTCTACACAAAGTAACTCAATAACAATGTATTGAGCAAGAAAAATGCAAGATATAGCATCTATAATAGTTTGGCTGTATAAAATTGCATCTAGAACATCAATAATATGAGATACTTTCAACCTCTACACAAAGTAACTCAATTACAATGTATTGAGCAAGAAAAATGCAAGATATAGCATCTATAATAGTTTGGCTGTATAAAATTGCATCTAGAACATCAATAACATGAGATACTTTCAACCTCTACACAAAGTAACTCAATTACAATGTAGTGAGCATGACAAATGCAAGATATAGCATTTATAATAGTTTGGCTGTATAAAATTGCATCTAGAACATCAATAATATGAGATACTGTTCAACATCTACATGAGCATAAAAATGCAAGAAATAGTATTCTGTAATAATCAGAGACCCATTGAATATGAATTGACATGAATAAAACCTCAATTTTGAGAAGCGTTTCTCAACCGCTCCAACTCTTCATCTACAACCCTTTTAAATTGTTCAAAGCTGTCAAATTGCTGGATGTCAAATCCAGGGGTTGTGGATCTGTTGGTTGTAGGGCAGTATGTGAAGATCTTCCGAACACCTGTACCTAGCAACTTTGGTTTGGAGGGATGGTACCTCTGCTTCTTACCTCCACATCGTGGGACCTTGCAAGCGGCACAAGGTTTCTTTGATGGATTCGGAAGTAAAGTACGGGAAGGTGGCTTGGATAGTTTGGAAGGGGCAGGCCTAATCCGCATTGGTTCACCACTTGTTGATGGCAGCGCCAGAGATCTGAAATTTGGCTGTGATGGCAGTACTACCAGAATGGGGATGCCTGCAGCTGCTTTTGGAGCGATGGGCTTTGGAGCGATGGGTTTAGGAGACGTGATGGGTTCGCCTGATGCTTCAGTTGGTGTGGTGGATGAGGAAGGATCAGAACCAGGATGGCGCCTCTTCTCACCCCTGCGTCTGCCGGCTTCATGTTGGACGATCTTGTATTGAAGCTCCTGGTATTGTGGCTTGGGTATGACCTCAGGAAGCTCCACAGGATCAGGAATGTTATCAAATGATATTACCCTCCTGTGTGAGACCACCTTTGGTTGAGCAGTGGACATGAGGTTGTATTTGGTCTCCTGTTTTGATATGAAGTTGGTGATGGATTTTGAGTTTATGTTGGGCAGGGGAAGATTGAGGGTAGACAGAAGAGGATCATCCATGATTCTGTCGCAGATTGTCTTGTAACGCAGGCGGATGTTGGTCGCCGTCTTTGTTGGGGACAAGGAAGACACTGCTGGATGATTCTTCATTAGCTGGATGACAAGGTAGAGTAGTCGGGATTCCTCGTTGATTGGAGCAGCTTGGGGAAACCCCATCCAGCCAAACTTTGTCTTCTGCGCAGCGCTGGCTTGAGGAGACTCTGCACCGAGACACCTCCCAAACAGAGTATATCCCCATTTGCTCTCGTAACGCTTGACAAAGTTTCTGGCCGACTTGTCGTGTTCAGCGAGTTCACTCGCCGCTCTCGCAATGCTGTCGCGTAACTCAGCTGGCACAAGATGTTGCTCGCTGTCAACCAATTTCAGTAGGAGGAGGGACAGTGCTTCCACCTTGTCGAAGCCGGGAAGGTGTAGGTTGCGGCTGGTCATAAGGACATCCTCCATGGCTGGACTGTCCTCCTCCCCAACCGTTTCCTCCTTGGTCAGGACGGTGTGCTTGGTGTTCACCGACATGAGTGCTGCCACAGGGGAATCTGGTGTCTCGGTGAACCCTTCATCGTCCTCCTCCTCCTCCTCCTTGGCTCCCTCATCCTGACTGGAATCAGCCTCCTTCTCCTCCTCTGCCTGTTGCTCTTCCTCGACTGTAGAGAAATTAAGCAAACGGGGAAAAATACATTTTGTTAATGGTAGAACAAATAATTGGGGTGTAAGAATTCCAGATTTCAGTGCTCCTCTTGGCTAGCAGGCAAAACAGATAGAAGGAAGAAAAATGATATTAAGAAATAGGCATCAATCAATTGATTAAAAATAGGATATTAGCAATATTATATTTAGATTAAATCTAGTTTCATATCTATATAATTTATGGCTAAACAGAGGCCAAGCACATTTGTATAAATGTCTGAATACAACTCTCACCTTTTTCCGTGTAGTAATGCTTTGAAGAAAAAGCAGTGGACTGGGTGACGGCATATTCTACACCGAGTAGTTCTTCCTCTTCAGGGTTGGTTGGTGGTAGCATGGGGCCTCTAAAGTTTTGGTTGTAGACGTGCTCCTTGCCATACAGCATCTCCTCCTGGGTATTCATCCTCTGAATCTGGCGAGGATCATCAACCAGAGTGGGCCCCTTCTGTCCAGCGACCTTCATCTTCTCCATTCTGCTGTTCCATTGTACAGCAAAGGATATAAGGTACACCTGCAAAATAATAAAGAAAAAAAACATGCAAAAAGTAAATAATATTTCCTTATATGCAAGATGTCTAATTTCAAAGCACATTCTTTAGAATCATATTGATTGTTGAATTGAATGTTTGAATATTCACCTGGAAGGGCATGATACCACAGCGATGAGATGGGATGGCACGGAAGATGTGTGAATGCATGCCCTCGAGGGCGTTGCTTCCCCGTCGACATCTGAACTTGGTCAGCTTTACCCCATTCATGACCACCTCCTTCAAGGCAACATACAAAGGGATGTTGGGCGGGTCCTGGAGGAAAAACAGATGGAACCAAGAAATTACATTATTGTAGAAATATGAGTAAAATACACCACTGAATTGATCAGCTTCAGAATTTACTAGCCCAGTCGGGCACATAACTTGTGGCATTGTTATGCTTTTACTTGTCCGGCATCAAATTTTACTTTTATTTTAAGAGTTAACTCTGCCCGAGTCGAATCTATTGGGACTGAAGGAATAGCTTTTGTGGGATCTACAACAATAGAAATAAAGAAAAGATGACTTGAAATAGACCTTCGACTTCGGCGACGATTCAACTCATCAATAATCTTTTGTTAGATGATAATTAAACAAAACTCACCTGCATGCAACTGAGATGCTTGCTAGCAATGGCCCAGTGCGCATCAGCAGCTTCATCAGACTTGAAGAGAGGGATTCCATCGCTGTCTAGGCCTGCCCGTCCCTTGAACTCGGCCAGGATGTGCTCGACCGCAGCAGCACTCTCCTGAAAAGTGAAATAAAGATAGCAAAAATATTAAGTTGAATATAGAGATGAAATATCTTGTTCTGACCAAAACCTGTAAAGCTGAGAAGAGAAAGGAAGAAAGTTGGTAATAAATTATTATTAGTGTTGACACAGGAACCGAGTTATTTCATTTCATAGAATATAAAAAAGTACAAGAAAAAAAAATCTTATATGGATATGAGTAATTTGTGAGGTTGAGGATTTCTTAATATTTTTGTTTGCTATTGACTCACCCGAACACCACGGGTGACACGGCGTACGTAGGATGCTATCTGGTGTGGCTTAGTGAAGAACAGCATCTCCTCATCAGACAAACCAGAGAACTTGTCATCTCCTTTCCTGACTGCACTGATGAGAAGCTTCATGTCACTGCTGTTATTGGCCAGGATAGCTCCGGCCATGGAACTCATGAACATCGCATACTTGGAGTGGGTTTGTTTGATTACCACAGTATCCCATCGGTGGAGCCAATGGCGAATGTCGAGTCTGACCACCATGCCAGCATGTACCCACGGCTCGAACAAGGTCTCATACCATGAGGCACCACCATCCCTGAAAAGAAGAAAAAAAGAAAAGAAAAAGAAATTGTAAAATGTTGTATGACATTCAGCTGGTTTGAACTCCTTGTCACCGTCTCACCGAGAATCAGATCATGGGGTACCTGAAGAAAACAAAACAGAGAAATGAAGAAACCTTGGATATTATAAGCTTAGAGATAAAACTTTTAAAGTACATTCAAGTATCTTTTTGTTTCATTTTCATAATAATTGACATGACATACATACCTACAACAGTTGTTGTCAGCATAGAGCACTTTCACCGGCGGAGCACGAGCCCTCTCAAAGCGAGCAATCACCCCCCTTGCCATCCTGGCGTAGGCTTCTTCTGATTCCGAGGCGACTACAATGGTGGTGACGAACTGGCCCCACTCATTGAGTAGGCTGGTAAGGTACTGGAAATTCCCCTTCCCCTCGCCGTAGATCTTCTTCAGAATCTGCATGGAGGAAAACATAAAGATATTGACATAAATGGATACATGCAAATGAAAGACATTATTATGTGTATTGTACCGTCATAATAAGTGCATCACTTCAATTAAGAATTCTAATTTGCTATTAAAATGTATTAAACTGACTACTAACCTGCTTTGTGCCATCAATACTGAGGATCTCGCCTGTCGTGCTTAGGATGGAGTCTCTGTAAGCGCACATGTTTTCCATCTCCATCAGCAGATGGGCCCTCCTCATGGTCCTGGCTGACGGAATGGACGGCCGTGTCATTGGGGGCGTATACCGGTGGTTGGTGAATGGCAGTATCCCCCTCTGCGCTGGGCCCGTTGACTCTGCAGTGTGTGCCTCCATGTTGAGGGTGTTGTACAGATCCCTCTGTCCAGCATACCACTGCTCGTGCTGCCTCTCTACCATTCGGTGGACCTTGCTCATTGACAAAGCATTTATTCGGTCAGATAACATCCCGACAATTTGCCTGTCGATGGCCCGCTTCCCGACTAGCACTGCAGGGAACTTGTTCCTCACTCCAGGGGCAAGTAGCATGAGGATGGTGGGGCTGGTTGCATGCCATCCGGACTGGAGAGACTTGTCCTGGGTACAGTGATGGCATTTAAGTCTCTCAGTCAGGAGTGTGTAGAAATTGCTGTTCCCACACACCTGCCTGGCTGCAGGTGCATATCCAGCCCTGGTCAGGAAGCTGCCGGGTGGGGCACGGCATGTAGGATTGGGGCACTTGATTCTTGTCTTCAGCACTCCCACAGGCCTCCAGAAAAGTACCGGCGTCACAAAAAAGGAATGCATTGATGGCAACAAACTTCCCTTCAAGGTTAAAGGGACGGGGGGAGGATGAAAGTACATCTTATCCTTCAGAATAGTTCTTGTACAAACGTGTCCTTTTGTCGAGACATAATGTTGTGGCTCCTGGAATATTCCAAACGGGCCATCGGACTTGAGCCACTTGAGATTTGGCGCATACATCTCATCCCAAGACTTGTGCCACCCTTCAACGACGTCGGCGTCATCGTGACTTGATGCAGATGTCGATGGCACATCAGGATCATGGATCAGCTGGTCAAGAGAGGTGATGGACGTGTCCACTGGCACTTGCGAGTCATGTAGTACATCCTCTGAAAATAAAAAGAAATAATGAAATAATGCCTAAATAAATTTGATTTATCATGATAAGAAGTACTTGATTAAATTGTCAAGTCATAATTTTTTTAATTCAATTTCTTATCCAGAATCATGTGTTCTACTACTACTTCTACTACACATAATAATAATATTAACAATCATGATAATACTGATAATAAAAAATAAAAAAATAATAATAATAATGATAATAATAATAATAATAATAATAATAATAATAATAATAATAGTAATAATAATATTAATAATAATAATTAGATTTCATTATTTGTACTATTACTAGTGCGACTGAATCGTTCTTTGTAATAATAATAATAATATAGGAAAATAAATCCATGACTTAATCAATCATGATAATAACACATCAACTCACCAGCGAGAGAGAGGAGTTCAGCATCCTCGATGAACTCTGGGTCCACCTTGTCTGGTGTGGGGGTGGGGGCCTTCTCCTTCTTCTGGTCAGCTTGTTGGACGCGCTTGTTGATTGGGTCCATTATTATTGGGAAACCCCTTGCGTATTCGAGCAGTCGCTCCTTCTGCCACAGAAGCTCAGGAGCCTTCTCCCCCGTCAACATGAATCGACTCATGAGCCACACCACCCACCCTACATCGTTCTCGATAAGCCATTTGAAGCTTTGGCCTGCGTATTTCCCGAATGTTACTTTGAGGTTTCCACGCCACAAATCGTGACCGCAGTCCTTGGCCTCCTTCTCCGCCGACTCCTGATCTCTCTCAACAGCTACCTGCGATGATTGTTCGGCGCAGAACTTGGCTGCCTCCTTGGAACACATCAACCGCACCTCTCCACGCTTGTACATTGGAATCTGCAGGTAGTGGTGTGTCCGCTTGTGGCTCACTAAGTTTTGATTCAGGGTGAAATACTTCCCGCAGTCCGAACACTCAAATTGCTTCTCCTGATGTGTTCTTTGATGGCGCGTCAGGTTCGACTTTGTAGAAAAAGTTACTCCACATGTGGGGCACTTAAACTCCATGATGATATTGGGCTGCAAATTAACAAGAAAGAAAAAACAACAAAGACGTGTTAAAATTATCCATTTCACTATGGCCTAGGGCTAGGCTAGCTAGCGCAGAACTAGGTTGCATTACATATGTACACGATCAGCACACGTACATGCATGCAGTGGGTGGTGCACTGGTGGGAACAATTAGTGGGGCCAAGCCCAAGTGACCGAAAAACGAGGCATAGATCTAGATAGAGTCTAGGGGTCTAGATATTCCCTTGTTTTGATGGGAAAGAAGACTACATAACATAACTGTACAACTCGTGATTGAGCCTGTTTGGATACATGTACGCTGTCTAAAACCTATACAATAGAAATTCAAGATAAAAACTACTCTTAGCAGGGTATTAATTACAATTATACATAGCATTAGCAGGTGGTAAGGAACGAGCGGAATGTCAGCAAGTCCTAACGGGGAACCGTCGGGGTACTATTCACTTTCGTTCCGCTCAACACTCGCAATCTCAAACACTTTACGCCTGTCCATCATGCATTGCGTGGATCATGCCTGATTACATGTGTGGATCTCACCTGTCTATTGAGTAGCTTACCGTCGTCTGCTACGTTATTTTGTTTTTTCCCTTTTGATTACTGCAGCGAAATCGTTCTGAAAGAAATACTGTTCAATATCCTTGTTCTCTACCCCTAGCTTCCCCTCCCCAACTATTATAAGGAGGAGACTTTTAAATGAAATGAAATGTTTTTTTTTCTGAGTGATATTCGATTTTGTGTGGCATTTTGGCACCGTCAAGTGCCACATACACACTCACTAACACATACAAAATCAATTTAGAGAGCCCAACCAAAGTCTTACATGTTTCACGTCAAACCGCTACACAGTTGCCTACCGTACCGAAGATTGGATGCGGGCGGGCGCGCGCTCGTGAAGTTAGCGACCTTAATGAAGATCATCATCGTCTTAATTAGGCCAAGTTACATGAATTTAATGAGGATCTGAGATTACAGTCGGTAACTTCTCGCTAAGTTATCCTTCATTCAAAAATGTAATTGTGAAATTAGCTTTGAATTCTATGGTCATCAGCCCAGCCCAGCCCAGCCCAACCCAGCCCAGCCCAGCCCAGCGAAGTTTGCCCTTTGTTCAGCTCGAAATAATACCGACACACTAATATGACTATTGAGCTCTACAGCGCCACAGAGGTCCAGACGGATTCTACTTTGAGCCTGGAGGTGATTTGTAGGAATTGCTAGCTAGTATGTCAGTGGCGGATCTACGGGGGTTTTAACCCCCCCAACCCCGAGGACAATCATCCCCCCCTGAAATTTACCCTCTTGGACAATCACCCCCTCCCCAGGGCAATTACTACCCCTCCCCCCGACAAAATTCGCTTTTATTAAAACCAACTCATTATTAGGGTAGGCTTCCATTTTAATGAACAGGGGGGGGGGGGGGGGATAGTTGTCCTGGGGGGTGTTTCATCAACTAAAATCGATTTCGATTTTAAAAATCAATTTTAAGGCCGAATCAGTTTTAGCTTAAAACCGATACATGTGAGATGTTTCATCAAATCGATTTTAAGCTAAAATAGATTTTTAGGTGTCTGCAATCAAGGCTAGTCAATTTGGGGTAAAATGGCCTTGCTTAACTACAGTGAGAGTCCTTGAAAAGTAAGTAAAATCTGTTTTTCTTTGAAAATATCAATTCTGTTGATAACAAATCTGTTACTTTGGAAGAAGAAAAATGTTCCTCTCATTATTATGCAATTTCATTTTTGTGTAACTGAACGAAATCTTAAATAAAATCAATTTATATCACTCTCCAAGTAGTGTAAATCACACAAAAATAAAATTTAGAAGAGTTAATGAAATACAACAAGAAATGTGTAGGTTAGTACATAATGAAGAACCAGGCCTGATAAAAACCCGATTTAAATCGGTTTCCCGATTTTTTTTTTCTTCCCGATTTAAAAAAAAAAAAAAAAATTTTTTTTTTTTTTTTTTTTTTATTTTTTTTTTTACCAGATTTTTTTTCTTCTTCCCTTTTTTATCCTGATTTTCCTGATTCCTCCCTTATTTTCTCTATTCTTCCCTATTTTGCCCTATTTTTTTCTCCCAATTTTCTTACTCGAAAGGGGGCAATGTTGTTAGATGCCGTTTTTTCCCCGCGAATCGCCTTTTTTTTTTTTACTCAAGGGGGGCGTGGTTGAGGGGAAAACAAAAAACCTATTTTTTTTTTAGTGCTCACTATCACCCCTGAGACACAAAGAGTGGTCAAATCGGCTGAATTT